GTGTCATCGGACATAGAGACCAGAATTATCTGTCCCCACTGAAGTGTCTCTGCTCCTTGGAGGAGTTTTCCAACTGATGAAAGAACTGTGGAAGTTGGGGTAGGGGGAATAAACAAGGAAACCAAACACAAAGACCCCAGATCCCAGCACCCCTGCGGTCATTCATCTGTATCCTTTTGAAGAAACTAGCCATGTTGGTTCCTTAGTAATAAAATGTGCATATTATTCAGAAGAGCAAAAATGCTTTCTATAATCTAATCTTATTGCCATCACTCTATGATGTTTGGAAATCAATAATTAAAGATGTCATTCAACAGAAACTGCTTTCAGATTTCAGCCAGCCTATCAGTGAAACTTCCATTGAACTGTCTTCTGTCTCTGCCTTCCTCATCGAGAGCCTTCCTCCAGGAAATTTCAGAGAGCTTTTCTTGTGTTCCTTAGGCCCACAGGGGTCTCTTAAGATCTCTTTCAGGGGCTTCTCACAAAGCCCCCTCCCCTCAACAGCACTCCCTTTTCATTATATTTTTTTCATAAGGTGAGCAAAGGCACCAAGCCCTGCTGACCTCATCACTATACACACAGCAGTGAACCTCTGGTGTGGGAAGCTGGGGGGAAGGCAGGGTAAACTAGAGGATAGTGTCTGTGGTTAGAGATGAGGGCATGAGAGGAGTGAGAGGCCTTACTCGGAACTGCTGGGAGCAGTGGACAGCAGAGGAGTTTTTTAAATGGTATGTATTAAAAAATAATGTTGAATTGAAACTGTAAATCTCATTTCCCCATTGGCTCATATCCACCCTAGTTCACAGCTTGGAATATTATAGGCTGAGAAATGAAGCAAAGTAGTTCTTGGAAATTACTGGTGAAGAACACATTAAGGTATGCTTGGTGCATGGTTTTCCAGATGCCCAAATAACATTCTCATATGTGTCACAATGAAGACTACAGATTGCCTTTAGGTTAAACCAGAGTCCTCACAGTGCTCACCTACGTGTGACTTACTAGAGGGTGAATGCAGAAAGGAATGTGGGATCATACCCTTAAGGGACCTGCCAGAGGCCGGGTGCAGCGGCTCACACCTGTAATCCTAGCACTCTGGGAGGCCAAGGTGGGAGGATCCCTTGAGCTCAGGAGTCTGAGACCAGCCTGAGCAAAATAAGACCCCATCTCTACTCAAAGTAGAAAACTTAGCCAGGTGTCGTGGCAGGCACCTGTAGTCCCAGTTACTCCAGAGGCTGATGGCAGAGGATCACTTGAGCTCAGGAGTTTGAGGTTGCTGTGAGCTAGCCTGACACCACAGCACTCTAGCCTGGACAATAGAGTGAGAGTCTGTCTCAGAAAACAAAACAAAACAAAACAAAGAACCTACCAGAAACATGTGGTTCCTTTGAAGCCTTATGTTTTATCTGAAAAAAAAAAAAAAAATACAAATAAATGTTACATTTTATGGCATAACATATGTAAGTTTATTTTATTATAAACATGTGTTAAAAGTGCTTAAAATGTTCTGTGTTCATATTCTAGAAATATTGAAGGAATAGTGTATACGACATGTAAATGTAAATATCAGTATGTAACCCTAATGGAACCATGTCACATGTGGTCATTCTCAGAGCTGTCACATTTAAAGTCACAGACCGAACACCATGAGAAAGATATTCTGTTCTTTGCTTATCTCCCCTGAAGGATATTAAAAGGGACCTAAATCACTCCGCTCAGGGTTTCTCACTCTCCCTTTTCTCTCATCTGCATGTTCCACTCTCCGAAGCAGCATTTACCACCAGGAGATGCTCCCCCTCTGGCCACGTGTCATGGTGTTTACTCTCCAGCTAAACTCCTGCTTTCTCATCTCTTTCTTATGTGGATCTACTTAACTTTTCTAGCAAAGGACTTATCATCATCCCTCCTTTCTGTTTGATCTTTATTCTAGAACAGGCCAAGACAAATAAGGCTGGGGTTCAGATCATGGAGAAGGGAAAACCGAACCAACAGTGACGGCATTCTTGTTGGTGGGAAGAGGCAGAGGGATGCCTCTGAACATTCCCATGTTCATAATTTTATCACCTGTGGATATAAAAATAGATATATTTCATTTTCCACTCTGTATTGATTCCAGGTCAACGTATCATCTTGTTCACTTATTTCAAGGATATTTGAGGGATAGTTAGATATTGTGCCTACAAACTGACAATCAATTATTACTTTCCTTATTTTTAAATATGTGTTAAGAGGGACAGGATACAATAGTTAAACCCAAAACTGTGCTTTGTAATATAAGTGTAATATTTCAAGAACAGTCTTTTGGAATCCGTGCAAAACTTTCAATGCCTATTCTGTTTCTCCGATGGCACTCTTTGTGGGAAATCAGAAATAATTGAGATAAATATTCGTTTTGCTATCACAGTTATTATGTACGATCCCCTGTATCTCTCTGACAAATATTAGTTGGCCTCCATTGTGTAATTTGAGGAAACTCAAGATCTGTATACCGAACAAGTGAAACTTTCAAAATGAATGTGATGAAAATCAAACATGGGATTTTTCTTCATGGTCTTTTTAGTTAAGTGTTATCCATGAACAGTTTGTATCTGAATACAGAAGCAGATGGAACACTATCATTGCTGTTTGTTCAAACCAGGTCAAACTTTAATTACTATGTGTACTTTTTCACTGGTGTCATATTCTGCAAATTATTTGTGACTAGATTAAGACAGCCAAATCAGACTCTTCATTATCAGCATTTGTTTCACAGATATTTCCATGGGTACCTAATAGGCAAAAGGCTCTAAGGTAGGTGCTGGCAGGGAGGGGGAGTCATAGATAGATGTTGGCCAAGAAGCTAGCCAGCAAGGAGCCTGAAAATCTATGAAGCTGATAAAACATCTCTACCAAGAATTCTACCACTGAGTAGAAATAGTTAAGGGGCTTCAGAAACATTTAGGAAAAGTGTTTAGAGAATTATAAGAAGAGACTTGGAGATGGGAGGATCAAAGAAAGCTTATGGATGAAGGGGCAGTTGACCTTGACATTGATGAATGAGTCGTATTTGGATATGTAGAAACTCAAAAGAAGGACATTTCAGAGGAAGGGAATTTAACAAAGGTGGGAAATATTGAAGTCTAGGATATTGCTACATCTGGTTGTGCTAAAGGGAAAAGGAGCAATAGAATGATGATTGCCAAGGCAGTTTGGATCATCTTAACACAGGTGAGGGGACTTGTATTTATTCAGGAAGAGTTAGAGACTCAAGGCAATGATAAGCAGACATGTGCTCTAGGTCTCTAGGAGTCTTCCAGTGCGGAAGGGACGAAAGGCGTCTGGACAAAAGGAGAGGAGTCATGGGAGGAAGTTGAGTGTCCTTGGAATAGTGAGATGTTTGTTATGACCTCAGTGCATGGAGAACAAGAGAGGCCACGAGACAAAGTTAGAAAGGAAAGTTGTGACAAGTTCTGAAGGGTTTATATGCCAAGCTAGGGAGTTTGGGATTTATCCTGTATAGGTGCAAAGAACCAACAGAAGGTCTATGAGTGAGGTCTGTGAGTGAGCACAGTCTGGCCAGGGTCACACAGGAACAGGTGGCAGGCTGCCTTTGGTCCTCGGGCCACCATGTACAGGCCTGTGGACTAGAGTGAGGAAAGAGGGGTGTCAGGAAAACTTGGAAGGAAGGCTTTCATGCAGAGAGAAGAAGAGGGCCTGGATGATAGAGGTGGAGGTGAAATGGGTGGGGTGTATCTGAAGTAGAGTGAATCACTCTCAGTGATGGTCTGACTGTGAGAAATTAGGAAGAAAAGGACAAACCAGGTGTGATTCTGAGGCTTCTGGTTTGAGAGAGCAGGTGATGATGCTGTTATTTAAGACCAAGCTTAAGAAGAAGAGTTTTGAGAGAAGACGGAGTCAGTCTGGAAATTGCTGAGATTGATGCATTTGTGGATCATCCAGGTACGTGGAGCCCTCAGCTTTCTGGGCCTGGTGTATAGCTTGTTCCTATCCAGAATGTGTGCCTCACAGGAGTCTGTAAGGGACAGATTTGAAAGTATAAAGTGTCACAGGAGTCTATAGGCCAGGAAAGAGCTGGTCCTTAGGGATACCAGACTGGCAGCAGGATTTGGGATGAATTAGAAGAGATGGGACTGGGGCAGGAAGACCAGGTGTAGGAAGCTCGTCCAACAATCTAGGGAAGAGGAAGTGAGTGTCTCATGTTGAGTACTGGCAGTGAAATAAGTAAGTTGGCAGGTGGGAAAGCTATGATGGGGCAGAATGCCAAGGATGTGGCACAGCGTGCATGGAAGAAGAAAGAGGCCTTCTGTGGTCACCAGCCTCGAATCCTGGGGTCCTCAGATGATGCTACTTCTGTCTTGTTCTTTTCCTGGTTCTTGTTCTAGAAACCTAGTTCAGTGACGGAAGTCCTCACAGAGCACACAATAGGATGATAGGAATGCTCTCATACCTTTTCAAGTTTTGCAAATATCCTGTTTTATTGCACAATGAAGGGTAGCCATGTCCCACCAACAAAAAAACCTTTGCATATTCTCCATTAACAGTAAAAGGAAATGTAGAAAAAAAAAGAGCACTGATGAAAGAGTTAAAAAAAAAATGCAAGATTTCCAAATTGGTACACATTTCAACCAAGGGCTTCAAAATTGTCTCTTAGTTTAGGAAGCCATCAATCAAGGTAAATTTGCATGTTGCCGACCTCCCTGAAATTCTTTACACCGAGATTGAAAGTCTCTTGTGGCCTTATTTTAGCCAATTTTCCTTAAAAGTCTGAGTGCCATTGAGATATAGTGACTCTGGGCATCTGCCACCCCGGTGCCTTAAGCTGCTGTGTTGAAATACGAACGTAACCACCTCTGTCCACGGTGTGCACCTCACTCTAACACTCAAGATGCTTGGCGGTTAGAATAGACAGGGCACAGAACCTTTTTTTTGTCTGTTTGGCAATTAACCATTCACTGGCTTTTTTTGTTGTAACATGCACTTCCTTTCTCTTGTTTTCATTCAAGCTGTGTACGCCATGGAAATTAATGTGGAGAAAGACAAACAAACAGGAGAGACCAAGATTCTCTCTGCGTCTCCCATTGGCCCAGAGGGGATCCGTCAGAAAGGAGTCAAAGTCTATGATGATGGTACCAAAGTAGTGTATGAGGTGCACTCGGGAGGCACCATAGTAGAGAACGGAGTGCACAAATTAAGCGCAAAGGAGGTAGAAGAGCTTATTCAGAAGGCTGGACAATCATGTTTAGGAGGAGGGCACGTGTCAGAAAGGACTGTGACCGCAGACGGGAGCTTCAGTCATCCTAAAGAACACATGCTCTGCAAAGAAGCCAAGTTAGAAATGGTCCATAAGTCTAGGAAGGATCACTCTCCTGGGAACCCGGGGCAGCAGGCCCAAGCCCCCAGCACTGAAGGGCCAGAGGCAAACTTGGACCAGCCAGTCACCATGATCTTTATGGGCTACCAAAATATCGAGGATGAAGAGGAGACTAAAAAGGTGCTAGGCTATGATGAAACCATCAAGGCAGAATTGGTCCTCATTGATGAAGATGATGAGAAGTCCTTGAGGGAGAAGACAGTGACGGACGTGTCCACGATTGACGGGAACGCGGCTGAGCTTGTGTCCGGGAGGCCGATCTCAGACACCACAGAGCCCTCATCCCCAGAAGGGAAGGAAGAGAGCCTGGCCACAGAGCCAGCCCCAGGTACCCAAAAGAAAAAGCGCTGTCAGTGCTGTGTTGTCATGTGACCACTTCCTTCTTCCCTTTCCTCCTGGGCAGCCTCTGCACTCTCCACCACTTACGTAGACCTCACTGTACCACTAACTGCAATACTGTGACCTGGAAGCAAACACCTGCCTCGCCTTGCAGTTGGATTGCTTTGAGCTCTCTCATTTTTTTTTTCCTTTTCTTCACCTGAGAGACAACGTGCATGTGTGTGCTTCATTCTTTCCAAGAACTTGCTTTTCCTCTAAACCTTTCCTTGTGTCTTCAAGAGTGAATCGATTCCTTACTGCTCGATTGGAATGGACTCTTTATATCCGCCAGTGATATAGTAGCCTTAATTCACTTGACTGCCATGGAACCTGTTGGCACCGGGGGTTTCATTCTGTAACGTGTTCCTGTAATGTAGTCGCACACCACCACCACGTCCCTGATTTCTCACTTGCCTCCCTTGCTGTGGATTTTTGTTTTTATATCTTGTGTGGCAAAATGCTGTTGGCTCTAGCCAGTTGCTAGTGTAGCCAAAAGTGGACCTTACTTAGTCTGTCCGATCTAGGGTGATGCTTTTTGCTGCCTTACATAACGCTTCCAGATTACAGTATTGTGCAATTTGTGGCTTTCCTTCTGTTAAAACTGAAATGAAGCTGATGGGAAAGAACCCAGAGCTTGTCACAGCTGAAATGTAGGGACTGATTCCATAACCTGCTCATCAGCCTGTCTCTCTTTCTCTGGCTTACCCAATGCAATGAACCCTTTATATAAGAAGCACCATTTTGAAATGTCTAAGGACACGAAACATTGTTTAAGCATCCGTAGTGATTGATCTCCAAAACTTAGGCGAATCCATGAGCCTTGTTTCTATTCTTTCCCAAAATGTAAAATTTTATATTGTTTCTTTTTTCATGGATATTTTCCTGATCATGTTAATCTGTTTCCAATGAGGGGATGATTTTTGAGAAGTCTCTCTGCAGTGACACTATTTTTAAAGTAGTCTTTCTGACCTACAGTGGTTGCTCCGATGCTCCCACTTCATCCCAGATGGTGCTGTAATGCATTCACTGTTCATCTCACGTGTCTGGTTGATTACAGAGCCATGCATCTGCACTCTTTTCTTTCTGTCCCCCTGAGAAAGAGAATGTTTCGGGTAACTTCAACATGGGGGTTTACCCACTCACTCTTCAGAGAAAAACTTTCAAATGTAAAAAAATGTTTAAAAGATTAAGAAAGACCTGTCATCTCAACATACGCATTGAGTGGCATGTAGCTACGCTTTTCAAAGCATTGTTTTGAAGCTTCTGGAAACTCCAGAACGCCGAAGAATATGTTTTATCTAGAACACAATGAACAGTTCTTGAAATAAATTCTTGGCCCTCCCCTGGAAAGCAAACAACTACATATATAGTAAGACCAAAGGGAAGTAATCTAATAAAAGAAGAATAATATAGTAATGACATAAAGATGTAACACGTTAACTGATTTTAATAAGAGATATCTTAACTTTAAGTTCTTTGCCCAAATGTTCATAGCATTTTTGCAAATCATTCACAAAATTGTCTATGTTCCTGTAGAATCTATTTTCGAGGAAAACATAAAATATGATAAAATGTTACTGCAAGTCTAACTCCTGTGGAAAGTAGATGAGAAAAATAATAAGGTAGTCTTGAGAGAATTTTATTATGGAACCTATTAAATTTGACCTATTTAGCTAACTCAGTGCTATATCTATTATTATTTTTTAATTTTTTGAAGTTGTGTTTATCCTAATTGGAAAGAAAAAACACCATTTTTTACTTTTTAAAGTTATTTTTTCTTAAAGAAGTACATTGTAATGGGGGAAAAGTGAGTTGTTTTATTGCCAATCTGTAAACAAAAAAAGTTAAAGAGGGGAAAAATTAAGTAACTAAGTTCTACTATTTAAGATGATTCCATCCATGGCTTGGTTTTTGAATGGAATTATCTCTAAATCTCAGGTTTACCAAACCAGCTGCCAATGAATAAAACTAATCTATTGTCTAAGTATCTGGTTTTGAAGTCTAAAAATCTCACTACTTTCAGCTCCATTTTCTTTAGTACATGGTCACATAAGCATCATTTAAACATCCTATAAAATGACATGCAGATAAACCTACTTACCTAGAAGGAGAAAATAGTTTTGATGTGTTGGACAATCTGTTATGTTAATGATTTATTTAGGAGAGAAACAATCTAAAAGTTTACCATAGCTTATCTTTTTTACTCACTTGGCGATTAAAACTGTTCAATCTTGAGTTTTTAAAAGCATGGTCAAGGAGTGAAATGGTAGATGATAGAGCCCTGGAGTTTGTTATTTGGTAAACAGAATCAGTCTTCCCAGGATGGATGATTCCCTGAAATGACCTACCCTTCCATCAGTGAACTATTTACTCGTGGAGAAAATGATCTGCACCTCTCACCACAACACTACACATAAGAGCTAAAGGATTGATGATATTCCACACTCTCATTCACCCATTATTATTATTCTAGGGAATAGTGATTAGCAAACGATATGGATTAGGATTATCACTATATATACGTTTATTATTACAGATTATCACTTAATAGTCTCTAAAGTAAGATGTGTTGCCTTTATTAAGGTTGTGTGGCACAGTGAATGAAGGCTTGTTTGGATATGGCATATCTATTTGCATAGCTCCCCTCATTTTCCTTTCATGATGTGGGATTCAGGCTCAGCCAGTGCTTTTACGGGATGAGACCTGTAATCCCACCTACAGTAGCATGTAACTCCCCCATATGATGAAAATGTGAACTGAGTTGTGATTGTGAACAGTCTGCCTTCCCTGCTGCTGTAGGCTTCTCTCTGTAAAACCTTTATTATGTGTGGTCTCACACCTTTCCAAGATGCAGGGTATTTGGTTACATAACCAGACTAAAGAATCAATAATGAAGCTGCAAAACCATGATCTTCTTTGAGCTAATGATTAGATTTTCCTTTAAAATCATTTCTTCAGTTCCCTTTTAAATAGAAAGAGGAGGAAAAAAGGGAAAGGAGGGATATTTTACTTTCAATGGCCTTGAGTTGAAGATTCTTTCATGGCTAAAATGCAAAGTTTAACCCTACATATCCTGAAAAATCTTGATGACTTGTGTATCTTTGAGTCTTTTTTCTTTCTTTTTACAATTTTTCACCATGTAGCTCTTTAATTATATTGATTATTTGTATTATTTCCCGTATGTAAGCAAAAAATAACTGCCTCAAAAAGTGATTTGACAATATGCAGTGATGTCACTTAATATTGAACAAGAGGTACGAAGGAATTCCCTTCTGGCCAAACCCAGAACATGGTTTCCTTAAAGCTTCTGCATAATCTGAAAATTACTAAAACGCTTTTAGGGAACTTTAATTCTATTAATTTATGATTCCTTTCTGAAATGTTAATAGCCATGTATTTGCTTTAAATTTTTACCTATTCCATTTTACTCCTTGGTGATAAATGTGTTTTTTTTTTTCTGCATATACAAGTTGAATATTTTATTTTGGGTAGGGTCAAACTTTTGTAAAAAGGAAGAAATGTTATATATAGATATAAACGATATGTATATATAACATAGATATAGTTCCCTAGACATAGAATATTATCTCTGGAGCAAAACATCAAGGCCACATGTGAAAATAGTTTATTCCTCTGAATTTCACAGGATGCCCTTAAAAATGTCCATTTACTAAATGCCAGTGAACCAACGGGTAGCAAAAAAGGAGGGAGGGAATATGGTGATAAAGGCAACATCTAACTGTTACACCAGGTCTTCCTTTTAAAGAAGTATCAACCTGTCAATTTGAAGCACAGATGAGCATCGAATATGCACTGAGAACTTTTTTTGTTTGTCTGGAAGCTCTCTGTGCTTCCCTGGACCCACTGGAGAGTTTAACTCCCTGACAGGCCTTCCCTTGTAGAGCTATTCTCACCTCTCGCAACGTGAGGTTCCTGCAAAGTCCACTCTAAGATGAGCAGTTTCACGTTGTATGTTTTGCAACGTGCACCTTTGTCATGGAAACCACAACTTCTCAGTGTGTTTAAGACACAGGTTTCAGAAACTTCCTAAATTGGCATTCTTTTGGATGCTCCCCAGTTTCTGAATCAAAGCATACATATGTGTATGATTAAATTCCTTTGATTAGGATGGAACCCCAAACGTATCCTTTGTCCCACTGAATAGGACAACACAGTAGGAGAACAGAGTTACTGGTACGTATCATAAAACAGGCGACATCATGAGGAAGAAGGGGTTTTTGATTCCCCCATGACCAGTTTACCTTCACCAAGGCCTTCGTCTGGTCTTATCGGAAAACCTTTCCTGCATTTTCTAGAGAAAAAGGAAAAACTCTTTGTAGGAGCACAATGCAGTTTGTGTCTGTATTTTCATAGCTGTAGCAAACTTCTTAATAAAATACCCGTTTCCACAAACTCCCACATGCTCATTGCTTGAATGTAAAATAAAGACTGCATCCTGAAAATTGCAAAGGGAAACTTCACTGGGATCCTTAGACCCGCTCCCCTGATGTAATTTTTATGTGACTGAGGCCTGTGCTCCCTCCTCCCCTCCGGGCTAACATAAAACAGGTCAGAACTGCCACATAAAAAACCTTGCTTTCAATGTGAAAATAGAATATGTAATTTCGGGGACTGAAGACTTTCTGCATCAAAGATCTAGACAGCCTTAACTTTTGTAAAAAAAAAAAATAATAATTTTTCAGCGTTCTCTTTTAACGAAACGTTTCCTGAAATTAATGGCTTTTTTATATTTCATGACTATTTTCTAAGTTTCTACAGGTTGAGGTGTCAATGGCCCTCTGGTGCCCATATTGCCTCGTAGTAGTCACCTGGGCCTATTTTTTTGCGAGTCACTGCATTTTTGTTAAAAGAAAATCATATTTCACACACCATAAAATTCTCCTTCTGGAGTGAAAGAAGAGAAATACAGAAAGAAAAGAATTACAGGGT